ATTTTGATGTCATGATATGTAAATTAAAAATTAGCTATTTTACGGTGATAATCTTGTTTTCTTGTGCCCAATAATGCATAATTTCATTTGATAAACACGTTTAGATTGAATGGTAATTTATAATCAGTCACAAGAACGTCGAATCTGAATCACTTGAAAAAAACACGGGGGTGCTTAACTTTTTTCCAGGTGTATAGAAACCATAAAGCTCAGCTCGTATTCTTTTCCAAGCATCACAAAATAATCATTGGCGAAGTTCTGCTGAGAAAAACCCTTCCACCTAAAATTCTCGTGATGTTACTATCGTGTATTAAATTACACTAAAAAAGTACAATTCCCACACTGTATGTAGAAACGTAAATTATTCAGGGAGGAGGGTAGTGAGATCGTACAGCATGCTCCATAGAGTTCTAACCACCTATCCTGATTCGATTGGTGATTTTTTTCAAAATGTCAAACAAATGGAGTTTCACGTCAGGAATTTTACTCAAGAACCTGGAAAGCAAGGGTCGCAACACACTTTCTGTTGAGATTTCAAACTCCTAATATTCATTTATATAAACCGATGTTATACTTGGCACTGTTCCTACTTACACCAGCTATCCTAAATGTGAGATAATCAAGTGGGAATCAGACAATGTACTGCGAATACTACTTGATGGCTTGGAAAGCAAGAATTGGTACTTCTTTCAGGCAGTGATCCTACAATCACTGATTGTCCTTATTTAAGATGATTGAGTATTAAACATACAGTGCAATGCATACATTATACCTTACCAAACCAGAAAGTTAGGGTCACAACACCCTTTTAACTGAGTTTTCAAACTCCTGGCTATAATCGTTATTTGTACAAATTTGATGTTCTAGACATCACACCTATTAGCACTAACTGTTCTTGCGCTAAAAGTTTGCCAATTTCAGGATGACAGATCTAAAATTTTAAACAGAAACGTTCCAAAGTGTCGAGACATTCTCCTGTTCATGGCAAGGGAAAGGCACCAATGTGAGTTACCGAATTTGCTCATCTAAAATCAATACAAAATCTAGTGATTCAGGGAAACTAGCATGGAAATTGCTCCATCAGTCTTGTATTGCCTCTATTTATGTTGTGGCAAGTCACACAAATATATCAGCATACTCAGCTAACAAGTCACAGCTGCTTTTATTGTATTGGGTGTTACATACATACTTTTGGCCATGGCGCAACAGAGGCAATCTTAGTGATACTACCAGCTTAATTTACTTTCACTTCAATTACTGCACCTATAGTTATTTCACCATAAAGTTGGGTAACTAATTGCTCATTATTACAA